TACATCTTTCTTTACTACTTGGTTGACAAATGGATGATGTGACAGTTTTATAATTGTTTGATTAAATGTGTGACATGTGAAAGGTGGAGTGAGATCGTACGGAGTGTAAATTCGGTAAATCGGGTTGTAAAGTGAAGTGTATATGTAGCAAGATTGAAAAATGAATTTGTTCAGATAGTAAAAAGAATGGCCACAAAAGATGGTGTTCTCAAAACCACATGAATTGTATGATGCAGGTTTGGCTGCAGTTAACATCAGCGTGTTGATTTTGTTTGGAGCTTGGCTTATTGTTGAAGAAATGACTGGCCATCAATTGCAGCTTCCAAGTGCATATTTTATCCTCACTTGAGCATGACTTGAGGGAATCCCGTGTGGTCATTTTATTTGTGGCCATTATTGCTACTTTTGTCCAGTAATTCGTTGTGCGTTTGGTTATTTTATCCAAGCAAACATGTATATCAAGAATCTTGGCCTTGAATTCTTGAAAAAAAAAAAAAGCCCATCAAATATATAATATTTTTGCCAACATTCGTTGTGAATTTTGGTTTCTTTTGCCTAAGAAAATAATGTATGATGATTGGCGTAAATGACAAAAACTGTTATGTCAAGAATGAATTCTTGAAAAAACAACAGCCCATCAAATATATAATTATGTGATATTTGTGATCCATAGTTCACTTTTTTACGTAGTGGTGTACCAGAGTGAAAATTCATTTGAGACGAAGATGAGGAATATAGAGAAGGTAGGACCGTCAATTAGTTTAATATTAGATAAACGGTAGTTTTAGTTGGAGATTCTATAAAGAGCCCCTCATGTTAGATCCGGAGACAGTTGTGGCTCAACATTGTTTTAGCATGAAAACTCGATGCAAATCATGAATCTTTTGCATATGCACTTCTAAAATTTACAAACGTACACTTTTGATTTTGACAATGAGATCTTTGCATTGATATATTGATTCATAATAATGAGAAATTTGTATATATAAATTCATAATCTCTATAGTCTAATATTTTAGATGAAGGAAAATAAAAGTTTTGATTTCTAGTTTCATTGCTTTGTCTTTAATAAGAAAATAAATTCAGCATTTACACTAGTGTTGAAAGTACGCAGTTCAACCCAAATTACACTTAGAGGGGGGTGAATATGTGTAAATGTGGAATTAAAAATTTATAATTAATAGCAACAAGTCACTAATTAATTATCTCTAGATGATTAAACATAAAATCTGATTATCATATACTTGAATACCGCAGAATATAATAATAGTAAATAAAATAATAAATAATGCACTGTATGATTACGGAGAAACTCCAACTGGGTAAAAATCTCGGGCACTTTGCCAGTCAACAATTCACATTAAACGGTTTATGACTTGCAGTCTACCAGACTAGACGATGACACGTACTATTTGATCTCCTGACTGCAATTCCAGCAGCTCTTCTGAATTCCGTGCTTTTGTACCACTCTCAACTGCTGTTTCCAAAGCTCTCATGCAGCAACTTCTAGTTTTGTGAAATCGTTTATCTCCAGTGGATTCACGAAGAACACCGCGTTCTTCAACGACTGGAACTTCAGTCACATTCCGTTGATCTTTAGAAACTCTGACAGATATGAAGGAAGTAGCAGTTTGGTATTTGAATTATGAATATGATGTTTTCACTGCCAAAAGCCAAATCAAGATGAAGGTTGAAAGAATTATATGAAGATGATCTCAAGGGAATATGTTTCTCTCAATGTTCAACCTCACAATTCACGGTCTGTGACATTTGACTATTTATATGTAGGTTAGGGAATGAATGTGTCGGACAAAAAGCCTTTAAAAAATGAAATAAAAATTTCCTTAATGACACTGTCACTCGAGCGAAGAGCTAGCGACAGTCGAGCTATAGGTTGTCGCTCGAGCAAATGTGAGGCGACGTCGAGCGATGGAGTTTCTGTTTTTGATGCTCGAGCCAAGCCTTGCGCGATAGTCTAGCGAATTACATAAAATACCTAACAAGTGTGTTGAAGATTAAATTTAAATTATCTCTAATAATTTAAGTTTTTAATTGAGTTAGTTTTACGATATAGACTAATGGTGTTAGAAGTCTCAATGACTACTTACTTTCAACATTGTTTCTCACATGTCATCCCATCTCCAGACGCTTGAAAATTTGACGTGGTAATTGTTCCAAAAGTAACGGATAAAAAAACAACTTTGAAAGTAAATTAACTATTTTGAAAAATTTAAAGTTCAACAATTGTTAGAGTTATCATTCAAAATACAGTGATAGTTATTAAGTTAAGGTTAATCGAGGACACGACATGTTAGAAAGGCTGGAAATTGTCCCGTTGTCTCTGTGAAATTGGGATATTCAATTTCCATCTCCAAAATTCAATCTAAGATTAGTTTTTGAATTCTCAGTTCAGTCTTTGGTGTAGCTCATTAGCTCAAGAATGGAGCGCGAAAGCATGCAATTCTAGTAAGAAGTTCAAATACCTAATAATTCACGCTACAAAGAAAACTTTTCGTGGTTGATTGAATATTTATAATGCAAGTTTAAACATCTAAACAAATCTTGCTTTTGCAAGAAATTAATAAATATTTTCTTCGTACTTAAATTCTACAAACCAATTTTCCAAAGGCTATTGTGGGGGCATAAGTAGTCATGGGTTTCTTTCATGAGTTTGAAAGAGATTACTTCAAGCCAAAAAAATTGATATTTTGAAAATGTGTGATTGAAAAAGTAAAGAACAATTATAAATTTTGTTCAAAATTATTTTATTAGGAGAATGTGTAATTAAAATTGAGTTTTTTAAAAAATGATTTTTTCGATAAACTATGCCAAACATATGCTTAAATTATTCATGATTTAATATATTAAAATCAGTGTTCTAAAACACAAGTCTAAGCGCGAAGTACTCGCGAAATACCACACCTTTAAAGTGAGCAAGATATTAAGCGGTCAATTGTCAAGTTGACCATTTAATGTGCAACTAGGTGCTCTTTATTAATTTTACATTTTTGAAAAACTTTTTATTTGATTTTAATTTTAAATTTTTAAATGACTTTATTTGTACAAAAGTAAATGATAAAAATACATTAGAAAATTTCAAATAAAACAGTGGCTAAAGAAAAAGCTATCAAACATTCGTTTGACATAACTTTTCAAAAATCAAAATGAACTTTTGAGTGCCAAAAATTGTTTTTGATCTGCTAAAAGTCTGTTTGACATGATTTTTGAAAAATTAGAGTGTGTTTGGTAGAGATTAAAATCGGATTAAAATGAGTTTTCGAGATCAAAAAGTTGATTTTGGACCGTTTGATATAACTTCCTCTAAAATTTGGAATATGAATTTTTATTTTTAAAAAATTAATTTTCAAGCAAAATTAAGATAATTTCCTCCAAAAGTTCTTATATAAGAAACAAAAGAAAAAATCATGTCAAACGGATCCTAATTTTATGAAAGTATTTCTTCTAGTTAAAAGAGCTTTTAAAAGAAGTTAGTTTAATGTGACTTCCTCTAAAAACACTTTTGAAATATGAAATTCTTTTAAAAAAATAGTTTTCAAACAAAAATTAAGGTAACTTCTTCCAAAACTCTTTAACTGGAAGCAAAAATCATGTCAACGAGATCTAAGTAGGACTTGTTTAGTAAAAAGATGAAATTATGAAAAATAGTCTAAATTTTGCATTTTAAAAACTTAAAAATTGAATAATTGATTAGTTATAAGAATTACTAATTAAATATAACTTATATTTGACCCCCATTTTTTCGAAAACTCAAGCCTCGTTTGATTTGCGTTTCAATTTAAGTTTGTGGTTCATTTTCGGTTTTTTGTTTCGTGAGTTTATTTTAAAATTGCTAAAAATGCATTTGATTTATTATGTTAAAAAATTATTTCTCAAAACACAATACTAGAAAACAAGTTTGGTTTAAAATTTTGAAAAATTATTTTATGGCATTTTATTCCATGAAATTTGATTATTCAATAAATATATAACAATTTTATGTTATTATATTATCAAATAATATATATTTTTTAAACTTCGTAAATCTTACAATATTTTTTTTTTCCTCGTTTCAAAAGTAAAATAAAAAAAAAATCAATTGAGCTGAAAATATAGAAAATAAAAATAAAAATCACTGACGTGGATTGAGATATTTTATCAGTGTTTGTTTAATTTTTTTTTAGAATTTTTATATTAATGATCATTAAGAACTTGAACTATTTTTATTTTCTAGAATTTTTTATAATTTTTTTGATTTTTTTTTTGGAATTTTATTCTCAAATTTTTTTTATTTCTTATTTTTTTAGAATTTATCAATTTTATTTTGTGAATTTTTTTTTTAATTTTAAGATTTTTTGTTAGATTTATATTTTTAAAATTTAATTTAATTTAAATAAAATTTTATTTAAACCCTTGTCCACGTTTCAATATTTTGCAAAATTGAAAACGACAAACTAAACGTACCTTCATTTTTTTCAAAACCAATTTTTAACAACACATTATCACATAAAATAATATATACACGTAAATCAATTTTTTTTTAATCATACATTCTTAAAAAAATCATTATTTCAAAACTGATTTTCCTGTAAATTTTCATTAAAATGGGCAACAATTGGGGACCAAGCATTTTATAGTTTTAGATGTTTGATGTATTGAAAAAGCTCAATTACTACGGCCTAACTTGCCTAGGCTTGTATTGGTTTAAAAAAGAGTAATGTTATTCATTTTCATTGGGGATGAAAACACAGTTTACGTGATTTTAAATGATAGGTTAAATGAAAGGTAAAATTAAATGAATCATTTAATTTCACCTATCATTTAATGCCACATTAATATCACGTAGACTGTATTTTCATCTCCAGTGAAGATGAATAGCATTACCCTTTAAGAGACTAACCTGTATAAATGCAAATGAATAAAAGAATTTTTTTGCGGTAGAGCAACGCCTTTTCAGTTCAAGCTCTCATTCTCTCTCCTCCGTTGCCGCCTCTCTGTATTTAATGGCAACATTCTTGAAAACCCACGTAAACTTCCAAGAACACCAAATCACTCCCAAAATCCATGAAAACACCCAAATCCGCCACCAAAGCAGCCGCCACCAGCCGTGGTATTCACCAGAAACTGGAATATACAAAAGCAAATACCCCTCCATTGAATTGCCGTCGGACCCTTTTCTTGATGTGGTGTCATTTATTTTATCCCAGAAGCATAATGGAATCACTGCTTTTATTGATTCTTCATCTGGGTTTTCAGTTTCTTATTCTCTGTTTTTCTCATTGGTGAAATCCATGGCCAGTGGACTACACCAATTAGGTGTAAAGCAAGGTGATGTAATCTTGATTTTGCTGCCAAATTCTATTTACTTCCCTGTAATCTTCTTGGGTGCTTTGAGTTTAGGTGCAATTGTGACTCCAATGAATCCATTGAGCAAATCGTTAGAGATAAAAAAGCAGGTTCTTGATTTAAATCCAAGAGTTGCATTTTCAGTTCCTAATAAAGTGGATGAATTGAGAATTACATTAAGAGGTTGTTCTGTAATTGAGGTTCCAGATTATGTAAATTTTGATAGAATCCCAAGTGAAAGTGATTATCTTCACAGGCTTATTTTCAGTGATCCACTTATGGCTCCAAGGCCTAAAATTAAGCATCATGACACTGCTGCAATTTTGTATTCATCAGGCACCACTGGAAGTGTTAAGGGTGTTGTGTTAACACATAGGAATTTTATAACCATGATGGAGCATTTTGTAAGATTTGAATCTTTGCAGTATGATTATCCGAGCACAAGTAATATCTACTTGGCTACTGTACCAATGTTCCATATTTATGGACTTTCCCAATTTGTTATGGGATTATTGTCATTGGGTACTACTGTTGTTGTGATGAAGAAATTCAATGCTGATGAGATGGTAAGAGCTATAGATGGATACGGTGTAACTCATTTTCCCACTGTACCGCCTTTATTGATGGCATTAATAAGGAAAGTCAAGAGTTCTCCAGGCAATAGTTTTAGGAGCTTGAAACAGGTTTCGTGTGGTGCGGCTTCATTGAGCATGAAATTCATAGAGGACTTTATTCATACTCTCCCTCATGTTGATCTCATTCAGGTACTCGTTTGAGTATAATGTTAAGCAGATTTAGGCTTTTTAGCTTGCTTGTTGTGATCTTATTTATGTGGTGGTGGACTTATCCGAAATCTTGATTTTTAGTTTTGTTAGATGCAATCTAGTAAAGGGAAATAAGAAATGAATTTCTTCATTTGGATGTGACTTGATTTTTGTGCATACGCTAACCATGCATATTTCATACTTGATATTCTGTAAGAACATATGAGGCTGAAGCGTGTCTGGAAGTTGTTCATAATCAGTTCAGATTAAAAACACATAGAAATGAGTAGTGGATAACGGTAATACTCGTAGGCCCCACAAAATATGGGAATAAAAAGTGGTTTGACCGATCATAAATCAGTGTCAAACAAGGGCAAATCAATCTATTTCTTCAATTTTCTTGTATTCTTTTGGACTAAAAAAAAAAAATCATGCATGATTGCAGATAATAGTAGCCATTAATCCATTTCACTCATTTGTGTTAAATACCATATACAGCATGGCAGATGATAATATTTATTATTCACTTTTCTACCATAAATTATCTACCCTTGTAGTTACAAGTGTTATGTTATTGTTCTTGTCAAATGATTATTTTGCTGTCAGGGCTATGGTTTGACGGAATCAACTGCTGTAGGAACTCGTGGCTACAATACCGTTAAGATTCGTAAATATTCTTCTGTAGGACTTCTGGCTCCAAATGCACAAGCTAAAGTGGTGGATTGGGTCACTGGTTCTTGTTTACCACCAGGAAGCATTGGTGAACTTTGGTTACATACACCTGGTGTCATGAAAGGTAATTAGTTTCTCCAAGTGTTGCGTGGTTACCACCTATATACCTTGAAATCTAGGGCTTCTATATTAAGTGTGCTTCTCTTTCAGTAATATACATATTGATGGACTATTTTTTGCATTTTAAACTGTAATTTTTTTCCATAAATATTTGAGATGCACCCCGTTTTCCTACTATTTTGGCTGAAGTAAATTCTTATTGGATCCCTTTCATTTCTCCAGAGCGGCATGATTACTGTATCTCAATAACTTTTCAATATAATCTTAGTTTTGATGCTTCAATGCCTCTGCCCTTCTGATTTAATATATATTAGAGTGAAAAGTAAAGTAATGGTAGATCATTTCCACTCACAGTTGCAGCTAAGTCGAAGATTAATGCATATTTTGTTTTCTGTCCCTTAAATCTTTCTTAATCGAATTCGTAAATTTAGCTGATTCTAATTGGCAAAGTATATATCATTCTTCTCAACAGATATTAGTAAAGTTTTAAAGATAAAATCTCAATCTAGAATTTCAAAATTTGCACTTACATTACAGAATACTTGAATAATGTTGCGGCGACTACTGCCACAATCGATGAAGATGGTTGGCTACATACAGGGGATATTGTTTATTTTGATCAAGAAGGATACTTATATGTACTTGACCGTTTGAAAGAAGTCATCAAGTACAAGGGCTTCCAGGTATACAATATATGTACATAGTTTATTTGTTCTCCATTTTCAGTGATTCAGTGATTCTTGGATTAGAAATAACCGTTTTTTGTTTAATGAAGATGTCTTTTTCCTTGCATAATCATAAAGTCGCAAATCAATTGTACTGAAATTGTTAATTCAAGTAGCTTCCATCATTTTGCAGATTGCTCCTGCTGATCTAGAGTCAGTATTGCTGTCTCATCCCGAGGTGCTCGATGCAGCAGTAACAGCGTAAGTGTGGCCATTTTATAATTTTTTTTTTTTTGTATTTTTCATTATTCTGCATTAATAATTGATTTTTATTCTACAATTCCCTTTCCGTATACTATGTCAAGCTGGATGGCACGTACTTGAGCAATCTCTTTACACTTCTGTGTTCACTTGTAAAAAGTTAGCAGTGAATACAATTTGCTCATTGCTGGCAAATACTTCCTTTTGTTGCTATAGAAAATCTCTGAATCCTCTGCTTCTTATAAAAATTACGAGTGTCTACTCTTCCTTTTTACCTTGGTATCAAAAAACAAAATAAAATAAAGTTAGGAGTATCTCAAAAATACCTCTGTCTGAAGGATTTTTTGACATTTGAGGATAAATTCTTAAAATAGCTCTGATATCAGGACTGCTCGACAAAATTATTTCTAGGTTCAATCTCTCGATCTTTGAACTATTTCCTCATTTGTACTCCCGTAACATTTGTATATCAAATTTTATAGAGCAAAGGACGAAGAAGCTGGAGAGATCCCCATTGCATTTGTAGTCCGGAAAGATGGGAGTTCACTCTCGGAGACCGTCCTAATGGACTATGTAGCTAAGCAGGTTATCATCTTATGATCTCTACTACAAGCATTTTTAGCAAAGCTTAACTTAAAAATAAGCTGATCAAATATATTTTTTATCGATATATTTAGTAGGATCCATATATTATAAGCACTCAACCACTACCAAACAAGCACTTCATCGCATTCTCATTTTCTTTGAAGTTATTGATGAATAGGGATCTTTTCTGATGTTTTTCGAGATTCCATTTCTGCTCATGAGCATTCTATTTTTGCAGGTTACACCGTATAAGAAGCTGAGAAAGGTTTATTTCCAAGCCTCAATACCAAGGTCTGCAGCTGGGAAGATTCTTCGAAGGGAGCTAAGGGCCTTACTAAATTCTAAACTGTAATGCCCGTCTCTTATGGTTAGGAAGACAAATTGTTAGGCTATAATTGGTTAAACAAAGGAAATAATTTCATGCAGACAAGGAAAAGAGAGAATATTGTTCCTTATTCTTTTGTACCATAATGTTACACAGGGCCATGACAACCTTGGCTTTGCTCAAACTCTTTTTAGTATACTAGTGGAGAGAATGTGCGTTGCACGTTAGTTGATTATCGTCGACAAGAAGTGAAGGTAAAAGAAATCTTTTACTCACTATTTTACCATTATACTTATTAAATTTATCCATAGAAGGTCAAACATGCCGGTAAAATTCAATTTCAACAATCACCAATTAAATTAACTAAAAATCCAAAAATACAAGAATGACAATAGATTGATGGTCATTGAGTTTAGAGGATCCTAAAAGCAGCAGAACACAATACTTCAAATCATAAAATTGTAAGTTCTTTTCAACGATTTGATATCAGCAAGAGAGAGCATGCATGTTTTGGAATAAGATACCTTCATTAAAAAATCAAAAGAAGCAACATCATATAGGAAGAACAAAGATTCAAGTAAGTGGAGAAGGTGGTACATTGGTGTGATTATTGTTAGTACTCACATAAATAGTCTGTCAAAATTAAATAATGTTCTGATACCTACTTCTGACTGTTTTAGCCCAAAATCTTCCTTGCTTGCATTTCCATCTTTGGCCATGTAATCCAATTTTTTTCACAATTTTCCAAGTGCATTTAAGTCTAATTAGATCACCATATTTGTTTTAGGTGAGAAAACAGTGTAATACATAAATTTATCTTACAGCTGAACATATGAGCAACCTCTGGCTTCTAAGGAAAGCAATCAGTAAATGTTTCTCACCACATACTTATTTCCATTCATCTTAAAAACCAGCTCCAATTGCATTTCTTCTCCATTTGATTAAAACAAAAGAAGAAAAAGCCTCAGAGAAAAGAGTATCATAATGTTCCTGCAATGTATTAACGGATGAAGGGAATGCATATAACATAAAAAAAATTGTCTTTGATTTGAAAGAAAGAGCTGAAATGACTACAAAAATCGGAACTGTGAATAAAAAAGCCAAAAACATAAACAAATGTAGATTCAATGATACTAAAACATAGTGCTAATATATTGAAGATGATTATCATTAAAAATGCACACTGGATAGAAATTATATGCTGCTAATACAGATTTCTCTTATAAATCATTTCCAAATTGAGAAAATTGTAGGAGAAAAGATCGTGAATGTGATGACAATATGATCCCCTTAACCATGCAAGCAGGAAAAGCAGATTGATACATAACTAACCTCTCAAAAAGTGAGACTAATATAAATCATTTCCGAACTGAGAAAATTGTAGGAGAATAGATTGTGAATGAGACCACAATATGATTCCCTTAAGCATGCAAGCAGGTATAGCAGATTGATACATAACTAACCTCTCAAAAAGTGAGAATATGCTTTAAACAATTTACATGGTAACCTACATTCTTTAACTAAATAGAGCTTCTACACAAAAAAGACATAGTTCAAGCTCCATTCATGTGTTTTATTTATTGCTCGTGAAGAAATTAGAGAAAATATTTGGAGAGCATGTTTAAATATTTAGGGAGTGAGACTCAAAGTTAATTAAAAGTGAAACTGAGCAGCACTCTTGTAATCCTTATCGAGTGATTACCATGAAAAAACAAAATCAGATAAAGTGGAATGATGAATGAAAACCATTTACTTGTTTACAGACCTTGAGCTGTAGACCTTTATGTATTCCCAGATCTGCCTTAATACCTCTGCTCGTGACATTTCCCGTTCGCCGCTTCCACAGAAATTTGCAAGGGCTTCAGATATTATGACAATTGGGACGGGGTCAACATTTTGGCTCCTAGATTCGACATGGACTTTAGGTTTCTTAGAATTTTGAACAGTCTGTTCTGCAAGATTTCAAAATCTACCATGAGCATCAACACCATCATAATGGAAAAACAAAAAAGTTTTCTTATAAGAGCCATACTTGTAGGCTCGAGAGGGATTATATGTTTAGCTAGCAATTTATTCATCTTGAACATGTCAGTACAATTAGTTTCGAAAACCAATCAGAATTCCTCGTTGCAAATATTCTTTCTTTTGTTATTTGGATCTTGAAGGTTGTTTTTCCTTATGTAAGCCCACAACTGCTTCACGATTTGTAATAGCACTATCTTAGGTTGGAATTTAAACATCTTAACTGGGAAGAATAATGAAGAAAAGAAAACGATGGCCACTTGGCAGAGTCGGTTGCCCTACGATGGTTTATAGTTCAGGAGAAACACCGCATAGTTTGTTTAGTCCTCCTGAGCCACTTCTTCTTTTTCTTCTAGTTGGAGCACTACAAAAACATACATAAAGGGGATATATCAAGTCAAAAGGAAGAAATAATTACACTAAGTCCTATATAAATGTTATGACGAAAAAATAACATGTGGAAGGGATAAAGAGAAGACCAAGGAGAAAACCTACATCAAGAGACAAAAGGAAAAAATGTTATTAGTAGCATTGTGTGTATCAGTGTATATATATATATATAAAATCGTGCACGGAGGCACACGGGGGTGTCTTTGTGCCCGCGTGCTTCCATAAGCACACGGAGGCACGTCCATCCAGGATTTCTCCATGTCTCCATTCAGGATGGAGAAGCTGGATGGACGTAAAAGGGATATATCAAGTCAAAAGGAAGAAATAATTACACAAGCCCTATATAAATGTTATGACAAAAAAATAACACATGGAAGGGACAAAGAGAAGACCAATGAGGAAACCTACATCAGGAGACAAAAGGAAAATTGTTATTAGTAGCATTGCATTGTATATAAAAAAATTCGTACACGGAGGCACACGAGGGTGTCTCCGTGCCCGTGTGCCTCCAAGCGCACACGGAGGCACCTCCATCCAGGATGGAGACACCGCCCCGTGTCTCCATGCCTCCGTACTGATGAAGATTTTTTTTTTAAATAATAGTGAAGGTTAAAAATTTCCCACATGTAGCACAATATTTTTAACTCAATCAACCGTAGAGCCATCTCTCCATCCAGCATGGAGACACCAACCGTGTCTCCGTGCTGATGGAGATTTTTTTTTTTAATAATAGTGAAGGTTAAAGATTTCCCACAAGTAGCACAATATTTTTAACTCAACCAATCCAATTGCTAGTTTAGGCCTAATTATACACTAATTTTTCACTTTGTCATTTTATCAAACACCTTAAATGCAACCTATTTTTCCTCATATTTGAAGAGATGAAGTTTTAAATCAAGGCACATTTTTGCACTTCACAAACACAATCAACTACTCCACAATCTAACTAAGTCCATACCCCTGGAAAGGCATAAAAGTCATTCCCACTATTGTTCTGTTATTGCTAGACTGAAGCGAGAATTGTGCCGAAGTTTTCATATTCAATGACTCGTGTCATTATTGCAAGCATAAGTGAATTCAATATAGGTTTAGTACTCAAGACAACGAGTAAAGTGCATTAAACTATTAAATATAAAGATTCAAATCTCATTGTTTCTTGCTTGGTTTCTTTAATACCAAGTATCTGACTAATGCTTGAACCACTCACAGTCGTTGCTTCATCTGGTACATTTCAAAAATCCATTCAAACACACATTTTAGCTTAACCCATTTCTTTTATTTTTCTCTCATTATTTCAAATAAAGATAACAATCTATTACTCTTTTTTTCAGTCAAGAAACAAACTAGTCGAATCAAGCTAAAAAAAAAAAAACACGAAGATACAAATTTACTAAACAAAAGTCTAAAAAGGCAACAGGAAAAGACAGCGTTCCTTCGTTGGTATCATTCTCTGTAGCTATGACTATAAGCCTCTGTCCTATAACCCCACATTCAAAATACATGAAAATCAAATACATGTATACATGAAAATCATAATAAAAAATTGAACTAATTGAATGAATGAGCTTACTGTTGAAAGAAAGAGCAATTGACGTTGAAGCAAACTGTGGATTTCGAGTTGGGCATTGAAAATTGATATAAATGAATGGCTATATAACACCACAAAGAAATGGGGAAAATATAATACAAACTTGAGGAAATGCACGAGATTTGAGCAAAAAATCCATTGTTCGAGCAACTGGAAAGGAATGAGAAGTTTGCAATGAGAGGTTGCGTGAGATAATGGAGAAGGAGGGATGGCTGTGCGAGAATTTTTGACGAATTTCAGGGAATTTTTTTTTAAAGGGGAATTTTTGACGACGATGGGAAATTGCGACACGTGTATGATTTGCTTAGCCTCTTTTAATATATAGTGATAATTAGTATCTTATTTTCTCCACAATAAGGTCCGATTTGCATAATGTTAAATATTTTTCCCGAACANATTTAAAATCACGTTTCAAGAGACTTTTTAAATTAACATCTTAATTTAGAGAGAGAGAGTTTGAACTCACTCTCTATAATTAAATGTATTCAAAATGTTTCAATTTTCAATGTAGTAAAACAATAAAATAATTTAAAGAAAATCTAGGTTTTAATAAAAGATAAAGAAAAATAATAAATATTTTTTGGGAGTAGTAAAATTAAATGTTAAATATAAAGAGCTTGTTGGAATATTTCAAAATTTTAACTCTCTAAATTTATAAATGTTATCTAAATGATAGAATATACTCCTTAAAAATAGAGAGTCTTTTGAAAATGCTCTATATATATATATATATATATATATATATTTGTTCAAATGTTGTGTATGAATCAAAAAGTTAGGACTGGAATTGAGTTTGTATTTGAATACGAAGAAAAAGAAAACCACTTTAAATACATATTTCAGGAGAAAATGAATTAAAGAATAGAAACGGAAACGGTCAAGTACAAAGTCATTGATATCAAATAATTATTTTATATTTTTGTTAGGTCCTAAATGATTTTAAATAAAATTATTATCTTGTGTATTTAACAAAATTATTAATTTAGTAGGGATTGAAAATTTCTATCATTTAAATAAAATTATTAAT